CTGTTTCTTTCTTGTATTCTATATTTAACTGTATATGATTTAACAGTTCATTCCTTGTTATATATCTACTTATCTTTATAAATAAATAAATTATCAGCAATTTGATTTTATCTCTCTAGAGAACCCTGTCTAACACAGACACATACCAGGATCATATGATCTCGCTTTCTGGCCTTTTAAGAAAGTGCCCTGTCCTTTTCCATAATGGTTGTACCATTTTACAACCTCACCGGCAGTGTATGAGCATCCCAGTCTCCCCACATCCTTGACAGCATTTGTTATTTCCCGAGTTTGGTGATGATAGTGTTACCATTGTCACTGTTGCTCGGATGAGATGACATCTCATTGTTTTGATTTGCATCTTGCTAACCGTTAATAATGATCTCATCATGTCTTCATCTATTTATTTGTTGGCCGCCTAAAAGTCTTGGGTGAAATTTATCTTTATGTCCTTGGCTCATTTTTCATTTGGGTTGCTTTTTTGTTGTGGCATTGTTGAAGTTTTCTGTAAATTTTAGAGACTCATCCCTTGTCTTTCCCTGTCTGTAGGTTCTTTTTGCTCTTGCGGAGAAGTTTTTAAAAGCACCTAAGTATTTACTTTTTAGAGGTCCTAGTGGCCTGGTTTCTCTTCTGCTGTTTGTGAATTTTTAGTTATGTTTGATAGACTATTTATGCCAAAAATTAGGGTCCATAGTTTGCCCTTATTTTTTCTTCCATGGTTTTTATAGTTTTAGGTTGTATGAGGGGGTACTGCCCCCCCCCCCAAAAAAAAACCCCGGATTTTCCCCCCAAAGCTGTGTATTTAAACATTTTTACAAAACCTTTTCAACTTCAAACTGTTCTCCATTACACTTAATACATTTGTCAAATCTGAGGTTCCATTCTTGGAAACATTTTTCAAACTCACCTGTTTGGATGGCTGACAGCACCTCCCTTGTTTATTTTTTCTTCACCTCTTCTAAGTGGTCAGATCTCTGTCCTTTCATGTCCTTTTTCATTTGCAGAAACAAAAAGTCGCAAGGAGCAACGTCAGGTGAATAAGGTGCATGGGATAAGAGAGGCATGCTGGTTTTTTGCAAAAAACTGGCGCACTGAAATGTCTGCATGAGCAGGTGTATTGTCATGGTGGCAAATCCAGTTTCCCATCTGCCACGAATCAGGCTTTTTTGTCGCACAATGTTAAACTGTCTTTTCAGAACCTCTAATAGAAAGCTTGATTAACAGTCTGATCTGGTGGAACAAACTCCAGATGCACTATGAGTCAACATTTTCTGCGTTTGGGAAGTTGATGGACATCAGAACAAAGTTTTGTTGTTAATTGACTTTTGAAACGAGAAAACCACTTGTGCACTTGGATTTTTCCCATAGTGCTGTCCTCATAAGCTGTGTTCAACATCACAACAGTTTCTGCGGCATTTTTCCTGAACAGGACCTAAAATTTCACAGCCTCTACTATTCTCTTAAATCACCCATCAATAAAGCAAGGTTCTAGTGAAACCGCTTTTATGAAAAACTTCACTTTGATCAGAGAGAACCTTCCCAGCTGATACCCCTGGCTCACTGCTAACCCAGAGTGAATTGCTTGATGCTTTACCCTGCTCAATTCTGGATTTTTGGGAGTATCCACTTGTATGTTTTGGTCTTTGTTCCAACTTGAGTTAGTTTTTTCGTATGACATAGGTATGGATCAGTTTCATTTTTCTGCAAATGAATATCCAGTTTTGCCTGTCCCAATTGTTAGAGAGACTGTCTCTTCCCTATTTGTTGGATACTGCCCTTTGTTGAAGATCAGTAGTTCATAATAAATGGATGGGTTTACTTCAAGGTTCTCAGTTCTGTTCCACTGGTCTATGTGTCTGTTATTGTACTGGTACCAGGCTGTTAAACTACATGACAATGTAATAGGTTCTGGAGGTCAGCAAGTTATGAGGCTTCCTACCTTGTTCTGTTTCTTCAATACTGTCTTGCTTATCCAGGATCTCTTTCCTTTCTACGTAAACTTAATTCATTTTTCTTTAGCTAGAGATCGATTTGGGTTGTCTTCACAATGTTGTCTTTCTGTCTATGAACATGGCATGTTTTGTATAAGCCCTTCACATGCCAGCTTAGGTTTATTCCAAAGTATTTCATTGTTTTGATGACTATTGTAAATGATTCTCCCCTGCCCCCCAATACTTTAAGGGTTCTTTTTGTTTCATTCATGTTTATGCGTTGCTCTTGTATCCTGTTACTTTGCTGAATCCTATTTCTTCAAGTAGCTTTCTGTAGAATCTCTCTATGCATAATATCATGACATCTTCAAATGGGGGATTGTTTTACTTCTTCTTTACCAATTTGCTTGCCTTTTATTTCCCTTTCTTGCCTTATTACTCTGGTGAGGACCTCAAATACAACATTGAGTAAGAGTGGTGGTAGAGCATCTCTGTCTGGTTCCTGTTCTAAAGGGAAATGCTTTCATATTCTCTTCACTGATCATATTGTAAGCTCTTGATTTTGCGTATTATGTTGAAGATTTTCCCTTCTATTACTATTTTACTAGGTTTTGTTTTGTTTTTTCACTTTATTGGGGGTTTACTGAGAGTTTTTACCAGCAAAAGGTGTTGGATATGATCAAATATTTTCTACATGAATTGATAAGGTCATGTAGTTCTTTTACTTTGTTTTATTTATATGGTATATTATGTTGATTGGTTTTCTAATTACTAGTTTAATTGACATCATACAACTCAATTGTTCAAGCATATTAAAATAATTGTGCAGTCATAGCTATAATCTGCCCTAGAACATTTTCTTCCTTCTTGTATTCATTGTGGTTTTGATATTGAGCTATCCTGGCATACCTGATGGATCCCACTTGGTCATGAAATCTTTTTTTGATAAGATGTTGGATTCCATTGCCTAAAATGTTGTTGTTTTTGCATCTGTATTCCTGAAGGATGTTGGTCTATAGTTTCCTTTAGTGGTGTCTTTGCTTGACTTTTTTATCAGGGTATGCTTGCTTCAAAGGATGAGTTTGAGAGTATTCTATTCTTTTCTGTGTTTTAGAATAGCTTGAGTAGACGGTATCAGCTTTTCTCTGAATGTTTGGTGGAATTCACCCGTGAAACTGTGGATCAGGGGGTGTTTTGCCCTGTTGTTATTAGGGTTTTTTTGGGGGGTGTTAATAACCACTTTAATTTCTTCTTTTGTTAGAGGTCTGTTCAAGTGTTCTCTCTCAGTCTAAGTTAGTTTAGGTAGGTAGTGTGCTTCTAGAGATTTGTCTGTTCTAGGTTTTCACATGTGTTGCAATACAACTCTTCTCAGTACTCTGTTCTCATTGTCTTTATTTCCGGTGGTTCTGTAGTGATGCCAACACCCACTCCAGAGGGACTTGTTGGCATTTTGGGGGAGTTAATAGAGGTGGTTCTCTTTTCTTTTTGTGGCAGTGTGTGGTATCCAGACAGAGCCTTCTGTGGCCTTGCAGTTTGGAAGAGAAAGTATCATATTCCAGGAACAAGCAGTCACTTTGTTAGAAAGACTGTTGGAGAGACAAGGGGAGGGGAGAGGGGATTGTCAGAAGATTGACAAAAACTACTTGCAGCATAGTTGAGGATCTAGACTCCTCCTGATAGGAGCCAGTCCCCAAAAGAGGCCATGTCAGAGAGATGAGTGGTTAGTAGCTTGGGTTTTTGTAAACGGTTCAGAGGAGAGAGCAGGAAGAAGATTTTGCAGATGTAGAGACCATTTGGGCCAAGAACCCTGAGTCTGATCTAAAAGTAGGGTGCTGCAAGTGGATCACTAAGAGTAATAGTGAGTTAGTTTATTGAGATAGTTTATGTGCCAGCCTGGCCGATAAATACAAGTGGAATTAACTGAAGGGCGGACAGATAAATGGCTCTGTGAGCCTCGCCTTTCTTGTCTCTCCCTCTTTGATCATCGGACCAGTATGCGGCTGGCTGCCTTGCTTGTTCTGTGCCTCAATTTACAGGCTACACTACCTGTGGGACGCCTAGTCTGTGAACTGTGTTGCTGTAAGTTGAGGTCCCTTTAAGACATCTCTGGAGCTGGGGACTGGCTGACAGTTGGTGACCTGCCTTATGATTGGCTGCTGTGCTGAGATAGCCTAGCTTTCTCTATATATAGAGGAAGACCTGGCAGCAGACTAGACTTGAAGGACTGCTAGTGTCTCACAATTCTCTCTCACGGGAGTGAGTTGCACTGAGCCATTTGTACTGCTTTATAATTTAACTGTTCATTTCTTGTATTATGTATCTATCTGTATGTAATTTAACAGTTCATTTCTTGTGTTATATATCTAATTATCTTTATAAATAAATACATTAAATTATCAGCAATTTGGTTTTATCTCTAGAGAACCCTGTCTAACACATAGGGCCTCCAGGTAGACACAGCCCAAGGAAGAGCAGAGCTGGCCATTGACCCTGCACTTCTGACAGTGCAGTTCAATCCAGTAGCAAGGAGCCAGGACCTGGCTCTGATCCTGACAATGCCCTGACTTAGCCAAGCTAGCTCCCTGTTCTGGATTCCCGCTATAATCTTTCCATTCTTTCTACCCCTAAAAATGCATGGCTCAAGGGCCATCAACTCCATATTCCCTCAGGGTCCCTGAGGTGCTGGGTCAGCTTGGGGTGTCTGGGATAAGAAAGCAAAGCTGCTTGGGGCTAGAAGAGACAGCACTGCTGTGGGATATTGATTATCTATTCTCTGCCTTCGTGATCCCAGTGGTGAAATGGGCCAGTAGTACCCTCCCCATGTAGTACAGAGGTCAAGTCTAGGTTTTAAAATCAGCTAAGAAAGTGCACAGAAAGGACCTGGAGGGGAGGTGGGAATGATGAAACCATCAGATAAGTCCTGTCCTGTTGACCCTTGAATGGGCCAGCTGATCCCCACATGAGAGAGCACCAGGGTTTCTGACTCATCTCTGGCATGACAACCATGGCTTCTTAAGCAAATTTGAAAGCTAAGAGCTATTCTTTTTTAAACTTTTGATCATTTTATTGGGGGCTCTTACAACTCTACTACAATCCATACATCAGTTATATCAAGCATATTTGTACATATGTTGCCATCATTCTTTTCTAGACAATTACTTTCTATTGAGCTCTTGGTATCAGCTCCTCTTTTTCCCTCCTCCCCCTCGTGACTCCTTGATACATTATAAATTATTATTTTCATATCTCACATTGACCACTGTCTCCCTTCCCCCGTGGTTTCTGTTGTTCTTCCCCCGAAGGGGGAGTGTGTGTGGTTGTGTGTCGATCATTATGCTCAGTTGCCCCTTCCTCTCCTCTCCCTACCCTTCTGCTATTCCCATTCCTGCTACTGGATTGCGTGTGTCGTGAGCTCTTATCTATACTTGTGTACATGCTCCAGTCTAGTCCGAAGTGAGAGGCATTACTGGGGTCATGATAGTGGGGGATGAGGAAGCCTCAAGGAACCAGAGGAATATCGTGTGTTTCATCGGCTAGGAGCTATTTTGGATGATAATAAAAGCTGCTGTCCATTTGTCCATTTGCTCACAGAGATGCTGCAGTTCGTCAGCAATCAGGTGGAAGAGTTCCCGGACTTGTTTTCTGAACAGCTGTGTGGCTCCTTCCCTGGCGGTGGCAGTTCCAACAGCGGCGTTTCCAACAGCAGCAGCAGCAACAACAACGGTGGGGGCAGCAGTGGTGGAGCTGTGGACCCCTTGACGCAGCGCTCATTCAGCCAGGTTCTCTTGCCTGCCTTTGCCACCTCAACCACCTCCCCACAGGCTCCGACCCTGCAGGTCAAGGTGCCTCCCACCACAGTCCCTACCCCTCCTCGGAGTGCGCCAGTTCTTCAACCTCGACCCCAGCCCCCAGCCCATGCACAGCTGCAGCAACAGACCGTAGTGGTCAGCCCGACCTTCAGCACTGCCCCCCAGACGAGGATCATCCAGCAGCCCCTCATCTACCAGAATGCAGCCACCAGCTTCCAAGGTGACTCCCCACTGCAATGCAGTGAACATGGGTGGGTCAAAATGTTTATGGGCCTGTGTTCAGACTGGCGAGTAGACTGTGAATAACCCTCTCCTACTTGGGGTCCAGACTACACCCCGGGACCTTGTCTGAAGGAGTGATAAATAACTAGCTGTGGGAATGGTACCCAGGAACACCTCCCATTCTGCCTCATCAAATACCTTAAGACCACCCCATGACTCTTGGTCTAAGATGCCAACAAGCACAGTAGACCCAGGGGACTGGAGGGTGAGGCCTGAATAAAGTTAGGCTAGAAACATGCCCACCTTTTTCCAAGGCCACAGGCTGTTCGTAGCACTCATGTGTTGATGCAGATATTTGAGGACCCACATGAGAAAATGAAGTCCTGGCACTCCATCCCTGAAGAGTGGGTCTCCCGGTAGCCCTCAGTCAGTGCTGAGTGAGGGAATGGCTGTCATTGGGCTGTACTCAGCGCTGCCTCTTCACTGATTCCTTAGGGTGCTGAGGACCTGAGATCAGCTTTGAGGATTTAGGGGTGGGCATGGGGTGCAAGGCAGTCATCCCAAAGTGCACTTCCTCCCCAGAAGAGATGGCGGCTGTGATACCTCAGCATCACCACCACCACCACCCTCAGGCAGTGCTGACTTGGAGGAGCATTTGTGGCCCTTCTAGCTTGGTTGAGTTGTTGGCTGAGTGGCTTTCCCCAGAACCCAGAGAGGTGAAACTATTTGTACTAAACCCCTCAGAAGTGGGTATAGCTCTTCTGGAATGTTCTTGTTCTCTAGACTAGCTTGTACATGGTCATCACACTCATCTTCTCGGCAGCAGGTGGGGGTTGGACTCCTCGGGAGTCACTGGTCCCTCAAGTGATTGCAGCAGCGGTAGGGACAAGGTACTCCCAGGAATACCATGTGACCCTTTCTTCTCTTCTCCTAAGTCCTTCAGCCTCAAGTCCAAAGCCTGGTGACATCCTCCCAAGTACAGCCAGTCACCATCCAGCAGCAAGTACAGACGGTACAGGCCCAGCGGGTGCTGACACAGACGGCCAGTGGCACACTGCAGACACTGGCCCCTGCCACCGTGCAGACAGTGGCTGCTCCCCAAGTGCAGCAGGTCCCGGTAGGTGTCTTGGGGGGATTTATGGAGGCGCTGGTTGGGACTGTCACTGGGTCCCTGATCAGAGGCGTGGTATGCATTTAAGAAGGGCCAGCCACAGTGCACAAGAACTGGTTAGGGCTGCAGGCCATAGCTCACACCAGCTAGCGCTGGATCTGGACTGGAGACTGGCAGAGACCACGTCTGCCGCACAACACAGTTCATCAGGCACACACATATGTATGCACGCTCGCTCACTGAAGTTGTTCCCTGACTTACATACATACCAGGTAAAGACATTGGGCATAAGATGGTGCGATAAAAGTGGAACAGGAAAGAAATGCTAAAATGGTATCTTTCCATTGATTTTTTTTTCTTTTTCTTTTTTTTATTAAATACTTTTATTAGGGGCTCTTACATCTCTAATCACAATCCATACTTTCATCCATTGTGTCAGGCACAATTGTACATATGTTGCCATCATCATTTTCAAAGCCTTTTCTTTCTACTTGAGCCCTTGGTATCAGCTCATTTTTCCCCCCACCCTCCCTCATGAGCACTTGATAAGTTATAAATTATTATTTTCATATCTTACATTGTCCTCTGTCACCCTTCATCCACTTTCCGGTTGTTCATCCCCCAGGGAAGGGGTTATATGTTGATCTTGTGATCGATTCCCCCTTTCTCCTCCCACCTTCCCCTTATCCTCCTGGTATCTCTATTCTCATTGTTGGCCCCGAGAGCTTGATCTATTCTGGATTCTCTGTGTTGCAGGCTCTTTGATTTTCTTCTTACCATCTTTTCTACAGTAGCCGCTGAGCATGTATTATTTTTAGTATCTGAAAAATTTTTATAGCATATTATTCATCTGCTAGTTTGTCGTAATGTGGTAGCTTGTGTGTTGCTGTGATGCTGGGAGCTATGCCACCTGTAGGCATTTCATAAACCATTAGGGTCACCTCTGGTGGACAGGTTTCGATGAAGCTTCCAGACTTAGACAGTCTAGGAAGCAGGACCTAGCAATGTATGTCTGACAAAATTGGCCTGTGAAACGTTATGACTAACAATGGAGCACTGTCTGAAATAGTGCTGGAAGATGAGCCCCTCAGGTTGAAAGGCACTCACAATCCTTTGAGGAAGAGGTACTCCTCAAAGTAACTCACACCCAAACTCACTTCTACCGAGTATATTCTGATTCATAGCAGCTACCCTCCATAGAGTGTCCAAGGCCGTAAATCTTGACAAATTAGATAGCTTCATCTGCCTCCCTTGGAGAGCGGCTGGTGGATCTGAATCACCCACCTTGTGGGTAGCAGTCCAGTGCCTACCCAACAGTGCCACCTGGGCTTCTCTCTTCAAAGTCAAGTCAACCTAATGACATGAGTGAAGTAAAACTTTCAGGACCTTCATTTCCTGGTATAATATGCCTCAAAATGAGAAGAAACAGCTGCAAACATCCATTAATGATTACTGTGTGGAATGTATGAAGGTTGAATCTAGGGACATTGGACGCCATTAGAAGTAAAGTGGAATGCATGCAGATAGTCTAGACATTAACGAACTAAAGTGAACTGAAACACATGGTTTATGCTGGGGATGACAAATTGAAGGTGTTGCATATATATAAAAATCAAGATCTGTCCTTGAATATAGTGCAGTCATTGATAAAGTAATATCTGAATACATTTTTTGCAACTATTATTCAAATTTTTACATCAACAACTACTCCCAAAGAAACTAAATATTACACCAACTTTTTCAGTCTGAAATTGACCAAACATGCAATCTGTACATTGATAATTGCTGGTGATTGGAATGCAGAACAAAGAAGGATCTATACTTTGGTGATAGAACAAAGTTATATGATAGAATTTTACAAGGTCAATGGTTTATTCATTGCAAATACCTTTTTTTCAACAACATAAATGGTGACTATACACATGGACCTCACTGGGTGGAATACCTAGGAATCAAATCAACTACGTCTGTGGAAGAGATGGTGGCGAAGCAGTGTTACTAGTCAGGACAAGGTCAGGGCCAACTGTGGCACAAACTATCAATTGCTCAGATTCCAGTTGCAATGAAAGCTGAAGAAAATGAAAACAAGTCCATGAGTTCAGTCTTGAGGATATTTTACAGATCATTGAGGGGTAGCATTGAGGACAATAATACATGAAGATCATTTTTTTTAAAGCATTAAATATACATATATATGAAAGAAAAGACTCAAATGGACATCAGAAGAGACTTTGAACTTTGAAGATTGAGTAGTTAAAGGGAATAGAAGAAATAATGAAATAAAAGAGCTGAACAGAAGATTTCAAAGGGCGAAAAAGGAAAGCATTAAAACAAAATGTGCAAAGACCTAGAATTAAAAAACCAAACATGAAGGGTCTACTTGACAGCACCTCACAGCTGTAAGAAAATGGAGCCCGCCATGATTGTTGTTAGGTGCTATCAGGTCAGTTCCAACCCATGGCAACCCTGTGCACTACTAAACAAAAATACTGCCCAGTCCTGCACCATCCTGGTGCACGTGGTTTTTTATGCTTCAGCCTATTGTAGCCACAGTGTCAGTTTATCTCATTAAATGTCTTTCTTACTGACCCTCGGTTTTACCAAGCGTGATGTCCTTCTCTAGGGACTGGCCCTGCTGGATAATGTGTCCAAAATCCATGAGACAAAGTCTCCCCATCCTCACTTCAAAAGACCATTTGCTCTTAGACAGTCATTATATTTCAAATACAAGCAACCATCTAGGGGTGTCATTTCTGCATCTCACCTGGGTTCCTGGCTTTCCAGTGTCCAAAATCAGACCACTCCTTTCCCCATCCAGCATATCCCACTCGACCCCTCCTTGGTCACCAACTCTGAGCTCCTTGGAGATTTTCAGCCATAAAATCCAGAATTCTCTTCAATTATCCCTTCTTCCTAACCCCTCACCCCAGAACCCAGATGGTATAAGATAGCCAGCCCTTCAGAATGGGCTTCTGTGAGGTTTCCTGGTTGGTTTTTTTCATTTGAATCCTCCATGTCATGAAAATGACCTTTTCTTGTTTCTTTAAGCTTCTGTGCAGTAAGGTATACGTGCAAAACAGAAAGATAACGTGACCTCTCTCCTGGCTTCCTCTCCTCCAGGTCCTGGTACAGCCGCAGATCATCAAGACAGATTCTCTTGTTTTGACCACACTGAAGACAGATGGCAGCCCAGTCATGGCCACAGTCCAGAACCCGGCCCTCACCGCCCTCACCACCCCCATCCAGACAGCCGCCCTGCAAGTACCAGTAAGAGCGGCTTGGCCCCTGCCTTCCTCTTGCCTCCTCTTAAGAGTCCCTGGGCTCACTAGATACAATCTCTATGTGCTGAGTGGGTGTCGGCTTGCTTAAGAGTTGGTCAGTCACAGTGCAAATGTCACCACCTCCTTTAACTTAGATGTATTTTCTTTGAAGAACTGCCAGCAATGTGTGCCATATGGTGAGGTTATGGGGTCTGCGTGGAGAGTGGGGAGAACAGTAGAGCAGCCCCAGTTCCTGGACAGCAGCTCTGCCCAGATGCCTCTCTGTTTCTACTGCTGGAAGTTATGGCCACCAGGCAGGGAGGGACTCCAAAGTAAGGGACACTGGAGGCATCCATCTTTAGGTGTGGGCTCTCTGCCACTTTCAACAAGAGAGTCTCAATGGAGAAAAAGCAATACAAACAAAGGAAAAAAATTCCATTGTAGATGAGTCAAAGCAGCCCTATAGATGGAAGCCACGTGAGTTCCAATGTGAAAGCACTGGCTTCATTCATGAAATCCAAATTCTGTGTATACCCCAACTCCCCATCATGGTGAGATCAGATGAATAAATGGTGATGATGATATTATGCCCAGCAGTAAGTAAAAGAACTGTTTGTGCATACAGCACAGATGTGCCTCAGATGTAGCGTGTGAGCCTGCCACAATTTGTACCAACGAGCCCATTCCTGTGAATTTCAATAAGAAGCAAAACTAAGCTATCGTGACAGGTCCGAGCAATATTTACAGAAGTGAGAGGGGGACAGTGTTGGCTGGGGAAGGGTCTGACAGAACTTTCTGAGGGAGGGAAGTAGACTTCACCTTACGTGGGTGCCTGCACAGGTGTGTTTTCCCTGCACAAAAACTCATCCATTTAGGATTGTCTTGGGTGAAATTGATTTCCTGGTGACTAGTGGAGAGCAAGAGCAGCCCTGGTGATGTAGTGGTTACATGTTGGGCTGCTCACCACACGGACTGCAGTTGGAAACCAACCAGCAGCCGCTCCATGGGAGGAAGACAAGGCTTTCTACTCCCACAGAATCAGAAACCCACAGGGACGGTTCTATCCTGTCCTATGGGATCATTGTGAGTGGGAATGGACCTCATAGCAGTGAGTTTGTAGTGATAGTGAGCAACTTTATTTACCAGCCATTTGAAGATTGGGACCACTGTTTTAAAGAAATTAAAATGAGGGAAAATGGAAACAAAGAGGGATGGTTGAAGGGAAAGAAAACAGTGACCTAGATCAATTGATCTGATCTTTTTGGTGGCCAAATGGTGTAAGGAAGTGCAGGAAGTTACTTAAAAGTCGCCCCAGAGGGGAAATATGGAAGACAATTTCCCAAGAAAGGGGCCTGCATCTGTGGGCCACCGGTGATGGCTAGACTGGTGGCCATCAGTGTGACAGCAAAACAGGAGGCATATGACTTGTTCTGCCCCCTCCTTCAGAGGTTAAGACATTGAGATTTTAACCCTATTTCGTGTGATTTACTAACAGCAGTCCTGAAAGGGGACAGGGGCTCGGAGACTGTTGTCTCCTGAGGCTCCTGGGGCCTGACTTAACTAGCCCTGAGAATGTCTGAGTCTGCACAAGGCGATGCCACGTGGCCCAGTGGGCCAGTGTCTGTTGTGGAGTTGCTCAGTCCAGACCACTGATGATGTCATTCCAACCCTATGTCTGTTCTAGACCCTGGTGGGCAGCAATGGGACCATTCTGACCACCATGCCTGTGATGATGGGGCAGGAGAAAGTGCCCATTAAGCAGGTCCCTGGGGGAATCAAGCAGCTCGAGCCTCCCAAGGAGGGGGAAAGACGGACAACCCACAACATCATTGAGAAGCGCTATCGCTCCTCCATCAACGACAAAATCATTGAGCTGAAGGACCTAGTCATGGGGACTGATGCCAAGGTAGGTGCTAAGCAAAACGGTGCCTCACACCCAACCCTGCTCCTTCTACTAGTCTTTGCTGAGGAACAGAGATGGGACTTGATGTAGGCCCAAGTTGGGGGAATGCAAGATGTAATGCTTGCTTTGTTCAAGAACCTTGGTGCTTGTCAAGATGGGAAGCCATTTAAATGTGGGTCAAAAGGGCCCATGGCCTGCTGGAACCATTGGCTCTGCTCAGACCTTGCCGTGGGTTCCAGTGTCCCAGGTGGAGAGATGGTCACACACCTGGGGCCAGGTGCTGGACAGTATGCTCCCTGGAGTCGGCTGATGCCACTGCTGGCTGGCTGTCAGTTGTGTTCAGGGGTGGTTGATGCTGCTGGTTCAGGAAGGGAGATAAAAAATGGAGATTGGGTTTTTGACCCAATCTAATCATTGCCCCAAAGTAATCATTGCCCAAGTTTATTTAGTATTGTAGTGAATGTGTCTCCAGGCAACTAGGAAATTCTGATCTGTTTATCTAAGAGATTTGTTTTCTCCTTCCCTCTGATCTGTTTTTTACATAAGAATTTTATTCTTTTCCCGATTGCCTACAAATCTTAAAGATATCATTATATCTTTCTCTAAGATAACCATCCAGGAATGTTGTCTTAAGTGCATGGCCTAGTGTGTACCATCCTAAGAAGTAGAAGCGATCACATGCGATTCACTGACCAGAGATACCAAATAACTTGTCCTGGGTGGCACACCCTCCTGCTCCAGAGCCCTTCCCACTCAGTGGGCGCTGCATCCTGTGGCTGCGTTCTACCTGCACTGACCTGGGGTTTTCACCCCTTCCCCTCCCCAGATGCACAAGTCTGGTGTTCTGAGGAAAGCCATCGACTACATCAAATACCTGCAGCAGGTCAACCACAAGCTGCGCCAGGAGAACATGGTGCTGAAGTTGGCGAATCAGAAGAATAGTGAGTGAGCCCATTGGGGTTATTGGCAGGGGACACTGTGGGATGAAGCTTCTGTCAAGCAGGCCATTCATCAGCTGGGCTTTCTCTGCAGAGCTCCTGAAGGGCATCGACCTAGGCAGCCTGGTGGACAATGACATGGACCTGAAGATGGATGACTTTAACCAGAATGTCCTCCTGATGTCACCTCCAGCTTCAGATTCGGGGTCACAGGCCGGCTTCTCCCCTTACTCCATCGATTCTGAGCCAGGGAGCCCTCTGTTGGATGATGCCAAGGTCCCAGCTTTTGAAACCCATCTCCTCTAAGACAACATGGTGGGGGGTGGGGGTGGGCAGGGTGCAGGTCAGGGGTTGGGTACAGGTCTGAGCCAGGATCTCCGAGCATCCAGGATCCTGTGGATCTCCGAGGAACTTCCTGTGGAAGTAAACAAGTTTTAGTGGATGAGGAAAGAGAGCCAGGACCTGCAGGGGGAGGCAGCCCTCACTCTAATAGCTTCCTGCTGAAAAGGCCCACCAGAGAGAAATAAGAAAGCGATCTAAACGGGGCTGTAGAGCAGCTGTGGGCTCCGAGGCACCTCACTGCTTCCCTCCCCTGTAATGGGCCTAGCAAGACCACTCTGTGGGGTTGATCAGTTGGCTGAGGACAAAGCTGCTTCTGAGTTCTCTTTCTGGAAATGATGACAATTTGCAATCTAACATATAACAGTCCAGCCAAGTGTTATTTTATAGTCCCTGACAGCCCCTGGCAATTGTGGCTTAATGGAGTTAGTTAAGAGAGGCTTAAAGCCTAATGATGTTCTTGGAGCCTGTGGAGAGGAGGGGGCTAAGGGCTGGATTCTGACCCAGTCACATCCTCGGCCTATATGTTTATACCCAGCTCCACGGTGTAGTCAGGAACTTCATTTCACTAAGGAAACTCTGCTTTGGAAGTCTTTCATTAATGTGGTTCTGTGGGGTAACAGTAGGCCATGTGACATAGAAATAGCATTAGTGAGGCTTCTGGAGTCCTTGGGTGATGCAAATGGATGCACTTGGTTGCTGTCCGAAAGGTTGATGGTTTGATCCTACCCAGAATTACCTCAGAAGACAGGCCTGGCAGTCTGTTTGTGAAAGGTCACAGCTTAGAAAACCCTGTGGATGAGACAAGGGCCACCCCAAGTCAGCATCAGCTCAGTGACAACTAACAACTGGGTCGTCAGAAGAAATGTCTGGGTGATTTGGAACTGTTGAGAAGGAGCAGTGGGGAGGACCCAATTCCTAAGGGGCAAGAAAGTAGGGTCTCTGTCTTCAGTTCACCCTCTAAAATGGAGACAGGGCAGTCATGTCCTCGGTCTACTTTATTGAGGTCTAATTTCTATGCAGTAAAACACCTGTTGTAAGTGTACAGTGTGATAAGGCTTGACAGATATAAAAACCTGTACCGCTCACTACAGTCAAAGGCAGCCTGAGGCTGGCAGAGCAGCAAGGGCCCAAAGAAGAGGAGACTGGGATACAGCAGTCAAAATGGGAATGTTTCCGTCACCCCAGGAAGCTCTTGCACGGGGCCCCTCTTCCCAGCCTTGGCCCCTGTCCACTGACTCATATGCTTGGCATCACTTGAATTAGATCTTATTCTGGAACTCCATAGAAACAATCCAATTGTGCTCTCTTGCACTGCACTGGAATTCAAACCGGAAACTCTTCTGCTCCTATCTTAGGACCCCTCGGTGATCAGTCCCTGCTAGTAGGGAGGAAGGGAGGTCTCAGAATCATGGGCTCTGTTCTCCCCTGGTTGAGTGTCCTCCCAGTGGAGTCCCTCTCACTTGTCAACATCAACTGCCATGAAAGCCGCCGAAGTGCTCATAGGTCCCTGACAGCTCTATTTTCAGGTCAAAGACGAGCCCGACTCTCCTCCCGTGGCGCTGGGCATGGTGGACCGCTCTCGCATCCTCCTCTGCTTCCTCACCTTCCTGTGCCTCTCCTTCAACCCCCTGATGGTCCTGCTGCGCTGGGGGGTCACCCGGGACACAGACCCCCACCCCTACTCAGGCTCTGGCCGCAGCATACTGTCCTTCGAGTCAGGTGAGCAGAGGGTCCTTAGTGCCTTGTCTCCCAGGTCCCAAGGGGGTTTGTAGTGGGTCCATCTGCCTGCCCCTGACAGGGACGCATGGTCATGGTTGGGAGCCTTCCCCGGTCAGAAAGCACATGTGGAACCTTCAGGCTATGATTGCCCTGGGTTGGGGGAGGGGCCTGTTTGAGGAAGGATGTGCTGGGACTGTGAAGCCAGTGCCTAGTGACCTTTGACTAACAAAGATTTTTGTGACACTCAGCTCTGTAAAGACAAGGCAACAGGCCTCCCTCCCACATCGCCTGTAAAATTGCCCGCCACGTGCCTGAAGTGTGGGTTAAAGCACACATAACACTCCTGTCCCAAGTTCCTAATCCTTGTCGCTAAAAGAAGCAATCCGGTTACCCTGCCCCATCTTCTGAAAATGAGTCTCTTTCCTGCCACCACTGGGTCCATCAGCTGTCCTGCAGTCTCCCTGGGTCCTTCCTCAAGGCTCATCAAGGTGCCCTCCTTAGGTTCTGGGAGCTGGTTCGACTGGATGATGCCCAGGCTCCTTTTATGGCTGGTCAATGGCCTGATTGTCCTGAGCGTCTTTGTCAAGCTGCTGGTCCATGGGGAGCCAGTCATCCGACCACACTCTCGTTCCTCAGTCACCTTCTGGAGACACCGGAAACAGGCAGACCTTGACCTCGCCAGGGTGAGTTCTGCTATCTTTCTGTCCCCTCAGCTTATGCCAGGTGCCCACTGTGTGCAGTCCTGGGCGATGCCCTGCCAAGGGGCCCCTTTGCACTCTGCTGGGGTGGGTACTTGTGGCTGAGAGGAGGAAGTGCTCCTCTGCCAGCAATAACTCCAAGGACTCAAGAATCTACAGTCTGTATCCAGACAGAAGACTCGAGAACCTGGGAGTTTGGGGCATTCTGATGGAGAGGGCAAGAAGGGCTGTGGTAGGTGGACGTGGCAGAAGGACTATCCCCCAGGAGAGCATGGTGAAAAGACAGGGCTCTTTGACGATGACAAGTAGCTGGGGTGTCTAGGCCAGGGGTGGGGAACATCTGGCCCTCGGGCTATCATCAGTATTAGTTAACATCACTCACTTCACCAAAGAGAAGCAGATCCAGCCGGCACATTAGGGGAAAGTTAATTGTTTGACCAAATATAGCAGGCTAATCATTTTTAAGATGATAATTTGGTATGGCCCATGAATGATATTATAAATATTCTAATGGCCTGTGGCAGAATAAAGGTTCTGCCACTCCCACTCCCTGTCTAGATGGTAGAATACTTCAAGGAGAAAGGAAGCCTGAGGCTGGCAGAGCAGCAAGGGCCAAAGTGGAAGAGACTTGGGTAAAACTGGCAGGGGCTTTAGTCCCAATTCTGTGGAGAACTAGGGAAGGCCTTTGAGCAAGTGAATGAACTTTTTTTCTCTCTTTCTTTCTGTGGACCAAAGAGAGTTTATGGAAGGATTCTGGGGCCACTCACAGTGTTGAAGCAAGATGGGAACATTTTAGTCTTTGGGCATCAGAGTTTCCCCGGCAGCAGGAAACCACAGGCCTATTGTCATTGCCCCGCCCCCTAGGCTGCATGGCCACCATAGAGTGTCTGATTGGCCAGCCTGGATCTGTTGACACAGCCATCTGAGGGCTCTAGAGAAGAAATGTGACTGTTAGGCTCTCCCCAGAGAAACTCCCCAAGACATAGCTCTCTCTAGCAGCTCCATCTGTGTTTGGGTGGCTGAATGAAGGATGGATGGGACAAAGTAGATGGGACATGCCCAGAAACAGCTTAGGGGCTCATGAGCAGGTGTTCATTTAAGGAGCATTTGAGATGTGAACAGGGGCGAAGTGACAATAACATTGAGTCAGAGAGGGGCAGGCACTGGGGAGTAAGGTGTGCTGGGAGCAGGCTGGGCTGGGGGAGCTGTACACCTGCAGGGAGATGGGTGGATGGAGAAAAGTAGGTAAGTCACTCAAAAGGGAAGAAAGGCTGGGCCACGCTTGCTGGAAATAGCAGGCAAGAGACAGAAAGACCTGCCTGCTTTGGGGCCTAAATAGAGGCACTTATTCAAGCAACCTTCCCTTGTCTGCTTTTGTAACTGTGCAGGAAGCAAAGTGCAGTTGCGCATGATGGGGAAGCTGACAACTGCCTTTGGTAGCCCGGGACCATGTGCCCTGGGTCTTCTAGCCTTCTGCATGAGCACACACACGGCCAGGGTTGTCCTCAATCACAGTGCCATAGACTCTGCTGGAGCGCTCTTTCCAGGCTAGCAGAGACTGTGCTCTGGATCCTGGCTTAGTTTCGGTTAGCCAGGAATTTGCCTACAACTTCGGCATCAGATTCACCTGGAGAGTCTCAATCCCAGAGATTTGACTCAGTGAATCTGGGTTGGGGCCTGAGAGTTGGACCATCTAGTAAGTTCCCAGTGATGCTGCTCATCTCCAGGAACCAAGCACTGTGCCCCTACAGCCCTGAAAGGCCGTCTAGTTCCTCCTCTACATCTGTTTTCCTATCTCTGTGGAAATGCTGTGGGAAGCCAAGCAGTGCTTTCTCAGACAGGACCCAACACCACCCCAGCTGCATAAAAAGCCTGGGAGGAAATACATCGTAGCCCCAGCAGGATTCTGGCAGGGGAATTATTATTGGGAGGCTTCCATTTTAATTTTTATACTTTCTGAAGTTTTCCTTTTCCTTAATGAGCATGTTTTACTCTGATGATGGGTTGAGAGATAGAACCAAAGTTTCTATGGAAAACAAAGGCAATATGCTACATCTGCATCCATAACAAATGCTCCCTCAGTTGCCAGGGAACCAGACAAAGTGGATGGTTCCAGCCACTGTCACTGAATGGTTTGATCAAAGACTCCATGGAGGAATCCTGTTCAAAAGTGGGGAAAGGCAGAATTTCAAATTCTGGTTGTTTCCAGACTTCTGGCACCAGGGGAGACAGAATAAAACCCTGAAACTATGACCTGAGATTGTCTTTCAACCTTAAACCAAAACCCTCCCCTGGAGTCTTTCTGAAACCAAACAGTAGCTCACCTCGTTGGGACCCAAGGGCCAGCAGCAGCAGAGAGAGGAGATGGGAGCCGTAGGAGGCAGTGTGTGTTCACGGAGGAGCGGAACAACCAGGCAGGCGGCTGAGAATGGTTGCTCAACTCAAAGAATGAAGTTAAAGCTACTGAGTTATGCACACAGATACGATAACCAAGCCAAAGGCCAGCCAGCCAGCTCTTGCTATTTCCTAGGGGGATTTTGCCGCCGCTGCTGCCAACCTACAGACCTGCCTGTCAGTGCTGGGCCGGGCCCTGCCCACCTCTCGCATAGACCTGGCCTGCAGCCTCTCCTGGAACGTGATCCGCTACAGCCTGCAGAAGCTGCGTCTGGTCCGCTGGCTGCTCAAGAAAGTCTGCCAGCACCGGCGGGCCACCCCCGCCACCGCAGCGGGCTTCGAGGATGAAGCGAAGAGCAGCGCACGGGACGCGGCCCTGGCCTACCACCGCCTACACCAGCTGCACATCACAGGTGAGGGTGACTCCATGGTGAACTCCCCCCTCTTGAGGGTGCACCTTTTTGCTTGTTAGCCCTAACTTAGACTGTGTCCTACTGACATTGCCCTGGCATGGTTTGGTTGGCAGGGGCACCAGTTAGGAAGATTGTGGAAAAGGCTTCCTGGAGAGACCAAGGCTGGCTCTTTGTGGGAGGGTGCATAGACTTCACCAACTCTGCAGGGGGGATTGGTGTCTGGAAAGCAGGGTCTTGCCTGGCATGGATAGAGCCAAAGGGATGGACGTTGGGGGTGGCGGAACAGGAGGAAGACATCAGGGAGACCAGGTTCATCTGAGGGCATGTAGAGAATGGGCCCAGAGGTTGGAGTATCAAGGAGGCCATACAAACTACTGGCAAATTAAAAATGAGAGATCCCTCAAGGACAAAGTTGAGGGCACCCTGGAAGTTGGGATTGAATAGCAGCATGCAGAAGCTCATTGGGGTAAGGAAAGGAGCCTGAAGGAGACTGGGCGAATTCTGGTGCTATCAGCAGGTGAAGAGGAGAGAGCGGGCTTCCAGAGATGAGTGGGACCCCGGGGGAGTCAATGGTAGTGGGTCTGCAGTTAGGAATGATCTTGGGCTTGGCCCCCAGGAGGAACACAAAACAAGGGGGCTGATGGAGTATGGTGAAAAGGGGTCCCCTCGGCCTCAGAAAGAATGCCATAATTTAAAGCAGCAGTTCTCAACCTGTGGTTTGCGACTCCTTTGGGGGTCGAACGACCCTTTTACAGGGTTCGCCTAAGACCATCAGAAAACACAAATATTTCACAATATATAATTACATATTTTGTAATTGCTCAGTATGCTTTATGTTTGATTTGTAAGAGATTCCTAACAGTAGCAAAATTACAGTTATGAAGTGGCAGTGAAAATAATTTTTGGTTGGGGGTCACCACAACATGAGGAGCTGTATGAAAGGGTCGCGGCATTAGGAAGGTTGAGAACCACTGCTGTAAAAGCTGGGGACCCACAGGAAGAGCTGTGTAAGGAGGAGCAGTCAGAAGAGACTCGGGCAGCGAGGACAGAGCTCCAGAAGGGAGGGTAAAAGTCTGATACCAGGAAGGTCAGACAGAGAATCAGGTAAAGGAAGGTGCTGAAAATGCTGAAAGGGGCCAGTGAAGAGGGGAGAGGTTAGGCAGGAGAGTAATTGGGACCTGAACTCAGAGTGGGGCATGATGGGGTCTGAGGGGGTGGGGGAGAGGTTAGGCAGGAGAGTAAGTGGGACCTGAACTCAGAGTGGGGTCTGAGGGGGTGGGGGAGAGGTTAGGCAGGAGAGTAAGTGGGACCTGAACTCAGAGTGGGGCATGATGTGGTCTGAGGGGGTGGGATCAGGGTAGATTTTCAGTGAAATAGACAATAGAAATAGCAATCCCATGGGCAGGTCACCTGGCTTCTCCTCTTCTGCCCCTCAGTGTGCCCTTGGAGGTGGAAACCGGCCTGGGTCCAGACTCAGCTCAGGTTTCTGTTCACCTCAGTTCTGGGCATTAAGCAGGGGACAGAGGGGACAGAAGCACAGGTTCTCTCTCTGCCCCTAAGGAGGAAGCCTGGTACCTCCTGGGGAAATGGGACTGGATGAAGTGGGAGGCAGGTGTTCTCTGGGTGGGCCGGGGTGAGGGTGGAGGCCTGGCTTTGCCTACCTGGGCCTTGAGCCTCGGCATCTCTCTTGGCTGCCTGAGAGATGCACAGCAAGCAAAGAGGCCTCCCAGCTTATGTAGTAAGGAGAAAGCTAGCCTGTGTATGACCCTTGGGCCAGCTTTACTGACCCTCCAGGGTCACCCCTAGGTAAATGTCGACAAGTGAGTCTTCAACCTTCATAGTGTGTTCTGCCCGGCTGTTGTTGCTCAGTGTGATATTTTGTGAGGGGTTTTCGGTAATAGTAAAAATTCAAATCAAGGTTTTAATTTCTCATTCCCTTTGGGGCTTTGGGCACAGAGGACCATACTAGCCAAATATAGCCATGCTGTCTGTCAGCCCCAACTTAGAGCATGGTGCAGCATGTACCTGGGTGTCTTGGCCAGGCACCTCCAGCCCTGTCCACTCCCATTTCCTGGAGCTCTGAGTCCTGGGCCAGGCTTCAGACCTGCCCTTTTCTCTCCCCAACCGCCCTGTGAGGGTGATGACCCAGTCTGTTAACCTCAGAGCCAGGCACATGAGACTCTGACTTTGCAGGGCATGTTCAGTGGGGCATCTGTCAACATGTGTTGGTTTCTTTCGCTCTAGGGAAGCTGCCCGCAGGGTCTGCTTGTTCTGATGTGCACATGGCTCTCTGCGCTGTCAACCTGGCCGAGTGTGCCGAGGAGAAAATCCCACCCAGCATGCTGGTAGAGATCCATCTAACAGCCGCCATGGGGCTCCAGACCCGCTGTGGAGGCAAGCTGGGCTTCCTGGCTGTGAGTATCCTTCTGTCTACATGCTGAGCACGTGGAAGACATTTGTCACTTAGCAGTTGGGAATTTTCATAACCTGAGCTCACTCAGGTAGCAGCCACCTCGATCAAGAAGTAGACCAATCAAGACACCCCAAGACGGTGTGGTTTTAGCAAACAGAAATTTATTTTCTGGTGGTATAGGAGGCTAGAAGTCCGAATTCAGGTGGCCTCTCAAGCGAAGGGAGGACTCTTGACTGTGGGCTCTGGCCAAAGCTCTCTGCCACCTGAGCTTCTGCTCCTAGGAGAGCTTCCTATGTCTCAGCATCCCTCGGCCCTCTCACTGCCCCTCTAACCTGCTTGTCCAGTTCTCCTTTAGACCTCAAATAAGATTGATGTATAACACAGCCTTAACACCTCTGGCCTAATCAATGTAACAAAGACGGCCATTCTGAAATAGGCTGAGAACCATTCATGGAGAGGTTAGTAGGGTTGCTAGTACTTATGGGGGAGGCGGAAGAGGGTAGGTGGACACAGTCCAGCCCGTAACACCAGAAGTTCCTTTAGTTCTCCTTCCAGGGTAACCACTATTGTGAATTTTGTCTCCATCTCTAAAATCTGCCTGTGGTATGATTTCCAGAGAGAAAATTGGTTTCATGAACATTTACAAAGTGAATACAGCCAGCAGCAAATCCAGAAACAGAGTCAGTCCTAGACCTAGGGACCTCCCATGGGCCCTAGGCCCCCCCACCCCCCAGCTTAGGGTCACCACACTCCTGTGTCCCCCAGATCCTTTGCCTCTACTTCAACCTACTAAGGAGGGTCGCTCAGACAGAGTGTCCTCCTCTGGGTCTGCTTCTTTCACTCAACATTATGTATAAAGCTCATCTGTGTTGTTGTGTTAGTCCAGGTAGACTAGAGAAACAAATTCATAGATAACGCATATGTGTTTAAGAAAGAGCTTTATACACAAGAGCAGTTGAATATTGAGAAAACATCCAGATCAAATCCATTAGTCCGGCATTAGCCTATGTGTCCTCTGCAGACTCACAAAACACATACAATGAAGCCAAATGCAAGAAGATGACGGGCCAGTAGGTGGAAAATCATGTGGATCCAGTAGCGTTTAAGCATCTCAGCACTGGCAGGGGTCTCCACATGGCTTCTCCAGCTCTGGGGTTCTGGCTACCATCAGCCTGTCTCCATGCCGCTTGTCAACAAGAATGTCTTGCAGGGACTAAGCCCGTGTCCTGCCTCCAGCGAGCTATTTCTCATCTTAGCGCCTCCAAATGAGGTGATTAAGCTACAACCCGATTGACAGGCTGAACTCCTCCCCTTCACTCTTAATTCTCTCAAATTGACAACAGATGATGTAACTACCACAGTTGTCATCCTCATTCCTCTGTAGTATTCCATCGAAAGAGCAGACCACTGTCGCTAGACTTTGGATCCTGGTTGGGGTTATTTGAGTAGTGTTGGCGCTGAGTACCCCTGTCGGTACCTGTCTTGGTGCATGGGTGGCTACAGTTCCCTTGCATGGATACATAGTGGTGTTGCAAGTCAGAGGGTTTGCATATGCTCAGCTGGAGCATATACTGCCCAGCTGTTTTCCAAAATGGTTGGACCAATTTCCGCTTCACCAGCAGTGCCTTTAGAGTCCTATTTGTTCCACAGCCTTATCAACACGGGATGATATCAGCCTTTTTCTTGCCATTCTCACGGGGTCTTGCCGATGTTAGTTTGCATTGCTCTTGATGACGATGCATGATGGGACAAGGCTTTTCAGGCGTTGTTGATTGGCCATTTGGAGAGACTTTTATTAAAAACTAGTCTCATCTCATTTCTTTCTTTGTTTGTGATGTGTCTGTATTAACCGGCCAGAGTTCTTTGAGTGTTCTGGATGTGATCTTTTATTGGGTATGTGCTTTGCAAATAGCTTCTCCCACCCTGCAGCTTACCTTTGCTTTCTCTCAGCTGTGTTTGTTGATGAACAGAAGTGTTTCATTTCACGAAATCCAGAGTATTAGTCTTGTCCTTTCCAGTTAGACATTTTCTATCTTGTTCATTAAGTCATTGCCCAACATCAGAGGCCTGAAGATATTCTTCTATATCATCTGTCACATTCTTTATTTTCACTCTTCTCATAGAGGTCTGTAATCCACCTGGAATTGGCTTGCAAGAGTCAAAGATGGATGGGTGCAAGCTCTTTTTTTTTTTTTTTTTTTTTAAATATGGCCCCAGACCAATTAGTAAAAAGACTGGCTGTCTCCCTCCCCCTGGCCCCTCACTAAGGAGCACCTTTCTTCATAAATCAAATATCCAAGAGGTAACCAATTACAAGAATCTACGTATCGCCTCCTCCCTGGGGGATGGACAGCAGAGAAGAGAGCGGGGGAAGACATCGGACAGTGTAACATGACAAAATAATAATAATTTATGAATTATGAAGGGTTTATGAGCGAGGGGGGAGGGAGGGGGGGAAATGAGCAGCCGATATTAAGGGTTCAAGTAGAAGGTAGATGTTTTGAGAATGATGATGGCAACAAATGTACATATGTGCTTGACACGATGGATGTATGAACTGTGATAAGAATTGTATGGGCTCCCAATAAAATGATTTTTTTTTTTAATGTCCGTGTAAGGCAGGTCTGCTTCTGATCCCTTTAGCCTGGGCCACTGTGCTCGCCCCACCACAGCCTGTCCCTTCATGTCCTGGAGGGTCCATCCCCAGCCTTCCCGACTGTCTTCTGCTGCTGCTTTCTGCCTTGGCTCAGAAGTGCTTGATTATCTCATCTTTCCAGAAATTCCCCTGAGGGTTAGTTGTCTTTATTGCTCTGTAAAGGGTCTCTAGGAGCCCATCTGAGGAAGGCATACAAATGGCAGCTGAAGATCAGGACAATGGTTCCCTTGAAAACTGTCCCCAAGAGCCCCCTGTTTGCTCAAGCAGCAGTAAGCGCTTGGATGTTCATTTCTGTGTAGTTGAACCTATATACTGTATATACTCGTGTATATGCCTCATTTTTTCAGCACATTTTTAATGCAGTTTTTGTGGTAGAATTAGGTGCCTTGGCTGATTTCAGGTCGTCTTATACTCGAGTATGTACGGTACATTGTAATGTGTGAAAATGTCATCGAATCTTAAGCCTGCATCTCCCCTTGCTTTCTGCAATTTTAGTTAACCATAAATGGACATCTGTATCAGCCCCAGCCTATGCAAAGGCTTTCAGTGACTACACCAGTTCTCACTGAGGCCTTTTGGGTTCTTTGCCACCTTTGCTCTCTTACAAGCCATGCTGTAGGGAGCAGACCTTTGTGTGGTCTTCACACAGGTGTGCAAATGTTTCTTCAGGGGAAACCCCTAGAAGATAGAGATAAAGGCTAGAAACAATTACACTGCTAATGGCCTTGGCAAACATAAGGTGTTGGAATGTAATGCCCAGTCAGGGGGCTGCGGGGTAGTGTGATCTCTGATGATGGAAACATTCCAGTTCTTTGAAGCCCCTTCATACTTAGCCAGGAAATGAATTAGCCTTAAGGTATGAAGAACAAGTAGTGAGCTGGCCTCTGAAATGGTTAGTCCAGAGGTCCCCAGGATCTCGTTTTGTGCACCCTGCTTGTTTGTCTCAGTCATGGTTAGGGCCTGAGGAGGGAGGGGAAGAAAACAAGAAACCAAGGGCTCAAGTAGAAAGAAAATGATGATGGCAACAAATGTACAAATGTGCTTGACACAATGTATGGATTGTGATGACTTGTATGAGTCCCCAATAAAATGATGTTTTAAAAGAAGAGTTGGGGTCAAGGTATTTAACAAAGACAACTTAGTAGCCACTTGAAAGTGAAGGACAAAATGGAACACCAAAATAATGTTTTCATTCCATCCTTGGACCTGCACCTGCAGGACCTTACAGGGCTTCCCAAATGTCAGGATCAGAGAGGACACTACCACCCTCGCTTTCTGTTCTTCATTGAATTTCTCCATGGTACTCGCTGACTCTCACAGTGATCTTGGAAAAGGCCTAGATTTGTGATGCTCCGTCATCATCCAAAGGAGCTGCGTGGGCTCTACTGTTGAGACCGTGAGCCAGCCTCACCTAATACTTGACAACGTGCCCAGCTCCTTGAGGGTTGCTGTATTTCCCTTGGGCGTTTAGCTGACCCCTGAGTGCCCTGTGTCGCACCATGGCACTTGGGGGCACCATGGCATGTGGTTTGTGAACCGTGGGAGTTGGAGGTGTGAGAAGTGGTCCCTGCAGGGGCAGCAAGCAAGGTGGCTGTGAAGATTTAAACAGCCCTGGCACAGGTCACCCGCCGAGCCCCTCTCACAGTGGGTGATTAGCCAGGAGAGTTATAGGGAAGGGGTTCTTAGGCCCCAGCCCAAGAGAATTCTAGTGTCTATAAAATGTAGGAAATTATCCCAGAACACCAATGTCAACAAAATTAAAAGAGCAACAAAGTTATCATCTCAATTTTCCTCTCAGACGTCACACTGTGGATGACTGTACCCGAGGATTTATATTTCTTATTAGTTTCAGTCATTGAACTCTAATTCTCCCTCCCACAACTGAGATTGGTTATAATTAAGTTTTTTCTTTTCTTCGTTAAGAATTAAGCTCAAACACTTACTGATGTTCCACAAAGCTGCTCCAGGTTCATCTCACTGCCCTGGTTTCTCTGTGTGTGACTCTGGGCCCTGATAAGGGACCTGTTGGCCCCCAGTTGTGTTCCTTGGCTTCTCAGGCCCACGGGGAGCTGGGAAGCAGGTCCTGGGACTGCGCAGGCTCCTCGGTTGCCGAGGACTCTGTTGCTGTGACAAGTTCTGATTCCATGATTGCTTTGTTTGTGGAGAGTCAGGAGAAGGTCGTGGAATTCCTTTGTTCTCCAATATCCCTTGCCAAGATGGTAGTCAGCAAAGTGGGAGAAAGGCCTGTGATGCCACTGATCTGTGATGAGATATAAGTGAACTCTTCCCGCTTCACCCATCACCACCCATGATAATGTTAGTGGAGGTCTGTGGAGCCCTTGGCCATGTTGTCTTCCCTCAGATTCAGGCAGCTGTCCCCGAAAAGAGGCAGTCCTCTCACCCCGTCTCCGAGTGTCACTTGGTGTTGCTATTTCTGACTCTGGCCTTCAAGTCTTCTGAAGCTGTTCCATTCACTGATGATCCTGAAGGTCAGAACTGGCAGGCAGTGGAGGACTGCCCTGCCCCACCCCCTTCACCCCCCATGAAGACAGTCCTGCACGTGAAGGTGGAGGTCTGGGGTCTCGTCCTGGCAGTTCCTTCCCAGGCGCCCCAAGTTTTCTGTGGCTGCTGCCTCCCTTCACTCACAAAGTGATGGAGTATTTTGGAATGGGAGTAGACAGCATTGCCTCTGGGGCCCTGGAATGACATTCCTCTGGTGGTGGTGGCAGCAGGGTGGGACAGGCTGAGACATGGGACTGGAACTTTTTGGCTTGCCCAGCAGAGAGTTGTTCAAAGGCACGCTCGTGGTCCTTCTTTCCCGGCTGGTGACCCTGTCAAGAGGATCCATCTGGAGGGAGTAGGGGGTTGTGTGTCTCTCTGTAGACATGTGCCGGTGCGCACACACATGCTTGTGTGCGTCAAAGATGAGCCTCCCAGCTTTCCCTTTGCCTGTGGGAGAGCTAGATGTCTTTGACGAGTGGAGAGAGAATCTCTGACTGCTGATCATGTGCCAGGCACTGTCCCAAACACATCACAGTCAAGATCAAAGAAATGAAACATTCATCGAAATGCAGTCACGTGCTCTCACCTCTATTGCCATTGAGTCACTGTCAAGGCCTAGCGACACTGTAGGGCAGGCAGAAGGAATTGCCCATGTGGGTTTGAAACACTTAACTCTGTAGGAGCTGGACCCAGTGCTCCCTTACTGTAAGCATATGGGACCCCAGATGGAGGCAACTGTCTGGAGGGACACTTGTGGGTGAAGGGCAGTGGGCGCTGAGTCTTCGTACACGCTCCCCACAGTGGTTAGTGGTGGTTGGACAGGGCCCTGCCCTGCCAGGTGGGCTTTGTGCCTGATCGTCAAACATGCTCCCATCCTCTTGCCCGGTTTCAGTGGTGTGATTTATGTCCTCCTAAGTATGTGCTTGTAAATGTCTTGCTCTCCCCGCCACCTAGGCCCTACGCACACTTGCACACATATACACGTATGGACGCACACTCGGCCACGGGGCTGTCGCCAGCACCCTGCCACCTGGAGTCACCCCAAGTCTTTGTCCTTCCACAGAGCTACTTCCTGAGCCGAGCCCAGAGCCTGTGCGGCCCCGAGCGCAACACTGTCCCCGACTCCCTGCGTTGGCTCTGCCACCCTCTGGGCCAGAAGTTTTTCATGGAGCGGAGCTGGTCAGTGAAATCAGCCGCCAAGGAGAGTCAGTATTGTGCCCAGAGGAACCCAGGTGAGGGGGAGCCTCCACTACTACAGCGTCTCTGGGCCATCTGGTCTTTCCCCTCAGAGAGGTGAAGTGACCGCCTGGGATCACACACCAGGTCAGCGGTTACACCCCCCATTGTCCTCACAGCACATGGTCACCCGTGACACCTGTCATGAAGCCCGGGCTCAGGGCTCAGGGGCCAGCAGCCGAGGGACTTGCTTGGGAAAGCAGAGGGACTTAAATGGAACCGCTAAGGAACAATAGGTGACAGGCAGTCATCAGGCGCTCAGAGTGGTGGCGGGGACAGGCCTCCAGGCGGCAGTGGGGAAGCTGGGTTTGCACCCTGGTGCTTGATGTGATGGGAGTCGACTTGTCGCCTTGGAGGGATGGAGGCTGGCTGGCCTTGCCTCAGACCAGTACAGTCACAGTGGTGTATGTCACACATTGGGGGGTGACCCAGCTCCTTTTTAAGAAAAGAGCCCCCATGGGCTGCTTCCCCTCCTGTCATCTCAGATCCAGATGTCCATGACCTGTGAGGGAGTGGAGGGCTGGTGGTGCTATGATGGGGGCCCACGCAGGCAGGGCCTTGTCAGTGATGGTCAGCTTTCAGCTTTGTGAGGCCCCTTGCAGAATCCGCACCAAGAGCAGGCCTCTGGACAAGCGGAGAGGAGGCTCTTCACTGTGGTGAGCTTGGTGGCAGTCGCAGCCCCTGAGCTGGCTGGGCTGAGCCACAGAAGAGAAGAATCTTATGAGACTTGGTAGAGCCGTTTCCAATCTGCTTAGCTGCCAAGGCTTGTGACCACCACCTTCCAACTCACGGCCCCATGGAGTTAAACCGGAGTCTGCACTGGACACCCCATCACCAGGAAAGGCTTCCATACACTCCATGATCCTTCCAGCTGCTCAACAAGAGAGTTTGGGGCTTTGGTTAGGATGGAGAGTTTGATCCCCATTCAGAAGAGATGCCTATTGTGGGTTCTTCTCCCTACCCTTCTTTTCCTCTCTGTAGACTAAACAGGCCCATAAATAAGACCAGTTTACCTGTCTCCTTGCCCTTTTCTTCTCTCTAGCTGATCCCATTGCCCAGGTCCACCAGGCGTTCTGCAAGAGCCTCCTGGAGCGAGCTGTGGAAGCCTTGGTGAAGCCTCAGACCAAGAAGAAGGCCGGAGACCAGGAAGAGGAGGGCTGGTAAGGTCCCAAAAGAGCCCTGCCTGGGAGGCCGGCAACTCAAGGGCACCTGGAGCAGGCGAACCCCATTCCTCTCTGTTACAAAACTTGAGCCCAGTGCTCAAGTTTGAGTTTCTCTCCTCCCCCTCCTGCCGATCTGTTTGCTTTGAGGTGGCTGTTGAGGGACAGAAACGAGGCAGTATGCTCAGCAAAAGGCTGGCACTTAGAGTTTCAGCCTGGGCCATCTTCTCTCACAGAGCAAGGTGCTAGTCACCAGAGAACAAGGCTGCTAGGAGGGCTGACTTTGAATTGGGGCTTGAGGGCGTCTGATTTCATTAGGGGTGGTGGTGGTGGCCTGAGGAGGGCAGCCCAGACCCAGGTGGAAGACGCTGTGGGGTGGGAGGTATGCAGGCAGAGCTCAGGAGGGGCCGGAAGTAGAACCAAGGCAGGTTCTACAGCTAGGGAGCTATCAGCCAAGGGACTGAATGGCCAGGCCTGAGGGTGGCCTGTGTTCCTTTTGCTGTACTCAGGCGCCTCCTTTTCTTTCCAGTGAATTCTCCAGTGCTCTGGAGTACCTGAAGCTACTCAGTTCCTTCGTGGACTCTGTGGGGATTGTGGCACCGCCCTTCTCCAGCAGCTCCGTGCTCAAGTCAGCCCTGGGTATGCCTGCACGCAGCAGGAAGCGCCTCAGGCTCCCTCCCAGCCCTCTGCCCTAGCTGAGTTAGGAGTGCGCACTTGAAAATGCTCCCAGAATCACACACAGGAGCCCCTCCTGGGCCTCATTCTAGGGGCAGGAAATAACAGTCCTTAGAAGGACAGTGGTTGGGGGGAGCAGATCACCAGGTGGTACATGGCTCACCTTTGAGATGCACAGGATATGCCACCGCTCCAGAGACTTCTCATTGGGCGACTCAGTGGCCCACTGTGCACCAGGACAGTCTGTGTCTGTCCCTAAACTCCCACCAGGCAAAGACCCATCAGGTGCCACCTCTAGGGCTCCTGGGGCCTCTTTGACAGACGGGCTGCAAGACAGCAGCTGCTCATGTGCCTCCCGGGGCCCCTCCCGCCGCCCTCCCCACCCACCCCAGTCTGTTTCCTAGCTGAGGCAAGGCGGGGCTCTGTGCCTCTGAACTGCCACGGCCCTGCCAGGTGAGGGCGGGAAGGATCATGAGGAGCATCCTTTGGCAGTTGTGAGAGAAAAACGTACCGTAGTCTGACATGGGCCTGTTAGGATAAATGCTTTAACACCATTTTTCAACATTATGGGAAGTTTAAGTTGCGCTTGCTTTTGTACTTAAAAATAGCACTAAAGTGAACTTCTCTCACTTTATGTCAATCCCTCTGTGATCAATTGTCAAAAAATGGGCTTACTAGGTGAGTGGGAGTGGGCATATTTATGCTTCTGGATGCACACAGCCCAGCACTTGTGTTGGGTAGTGCTGGGTGCCGGAGTGACGTGTGGTTCTGTTCCCGCCAGGTCCAGACATGGTCTGTCGGTGGTGGACCTCTGCTGTCACCATGGCCATCAGCTGGCTCCAAGGAGATGATGCGGCAGCGTGCACTCATTTTGCCGAAGTAGAACGTGTACCCAAGGCCCTGGAAGTGACTGAGTGCGTAGTCCTTCTTAGGCACCCCAAAAGCCTAGGTGCCAGACATCTTGACTTGAGGAGTCAGGCAGCCCAGGGGCTGAGTAACCGGCAGAAGGGAAGAGGTCCCTCCATGTGCGAGGCACAGATCAACGTCCTCACAGCAGCTGAGGGCCTGGTGGGACCCTTCCTGTGGCTCCCTGGGAGCACACAGTGAAGGAGAGAGGCAGAGCACGGGTGGTGTCTTGAGGCTATCAACACAGACGTTAGACAGTAGTGAGAGGTGGGAACAAGGGCAACCTGATTCGGGGCAACCTGAGGCGTGAGGTTGACACCGCTTCAGTTAGCATGACCCAGGGGCACACCTCCACCAACCCACCCCAGCACTGACGCTGCCCCTCCTGCCACAGGAGCCCCCTGGTGAAGGCCGTCTTCCACGCCTGCAGAGCCATGCACGCATCGCTCTCTGGGAAGGCTGATGCACAGCAGAGCTTCTGCCACTGTGAGCGGGCCAGCGGCCACCTGTGGAGCAGCCTCAATGTCAGCGGGGCTACTGCTGACCCCGCCCTCAACCACGTGAGTGGGGGGCGTCGGGGCCCCTCCAGGAAGCAAGCAGCTCTGGTCTTGGAGACTACCACAGTCGGCCCCCTCCCCCACCTCCAGCATGCCCAGCACCTACAGCTGTTCAAGGACCCCCCTGTGCTGAAAGTGTGGTTTCAGCTGAGCTCTGTTCAGTCCCACGGCTGGTGTGTTCCCACTGCCCCTTTGTCAGGCCTCCTGAACCCCGGCAGACACAGCTGGCCAGGCTCGGCAGCACCCCTGGCGGGCAGCGGGGGTGCATTGTAGTTGCATTGCACGTTCTGGCAGTGCCGTGCAATGTTTCCACAGTGCATCCCAGAGGCCTGCACACCACAAGAGACTGCCCGGGGCGCCATGGTGTGGCCCGAGGTGGGCCCACAGCTGGAAGTGTGGATATTGATTACTCATCTGCAAGGGGGGGTTGCAGCAAGTGGTGCGGTCAAGCTCAGCCCTACTTACTCATAAGTCCCCAAAGACTGGTGTGGCACTCTGGCTAAAGGACTTGAAGGAGCCAGGATGCTCAACTCTGTGGCCCAGGCAGACCCCAAGAGGGCTGGCTGGCCCCAAGGACAGGCAGCAGGCAGGGGACCCAGAGCCCTGCAAGTAGGCTGGGGAAGTCGATGCAGAGTGGCCCCTGTGGCTTAGTATGCCTTAGTATGTGTCTGCCTTAGTATGTGTCTGCCTTAGTATGTGGCTCCAAGAGAGAACCAGACCGTCTCAGTGGAGTGTGGTGTGCAAGCAGCTGGGGCTGCCTGTGGGCCTGGGACTTCTGGTGGGAGTGTGGGAAAAGATGAGACTCTTTCACACCTGGCAGCCCTGCTACTCCCTGCAGAGGTGCTCACCATGTAGATAGGCCAGTTCATTGGAACAGAGTCCTCCCTGCCCCCTAGAGGCTGTCAGCAGGGCATCCTCTGGGGCAGCACTGGTGACCCTCCCTATTTAGAGCTTGGGGGGAGCAAAAATCCTGTGTCCCCCCTCCTGGCCAACCTGAGATCTCCTGGCAGAAACTGCCAGAATCCTCTACCACTGCCCTAGCCCTGGCCCCTCCTGTACCTCTCTAAGCCTCTCTCACCCCACAAAATGGGATAGAGTAACCACCTACCTCCCAGAAACTCATCCATCCAGCTCTCCGTTCCTCCCAGGCTGGAATCACTACCCCAGACCTCTGCAGCTCACCTGCCCTACGTGCTCCCCACAGGTGCTCCAGCTGCTCACCTCTGACCTGCTGCTGTCGCTGCGGACCGTGCTCTGGCAGAAGCAGGCAGGAGCCAGCCAGGCCCTGGGCGAGACCTACCAGGCCTCAGGCACTGAGCTGGCTGGCTTCCAAAGGGACCTGGGCAGTCTGCGTAGACTAGCACATAGTTTCCGCCCGGCCTACCGCAAAGTGAGTCCCTGAGCCTGGGGAAGCAGGAGGGGTGGCAAGTCAAGGGTGTTCAGCCTGCCCAGGAGGAGCAGGAGTGTTGGAGGGAGGGAGCCCTTTGATCTTGGCTGCCCGGGGACCAACATGCCCTAGAACCACCCCCATTTCCAGGGAAACCACTTTGATTCTTGCTCTGAGGTCTCAAGTCAGTGGGCAAGCCTGCCAGACTCAAGCCATCTCCTCCTTTGTTACATTCTCATTGTTAATTGAACTCCTTGACATTTCTGGCTGTCATTTACCAAAAACTCAAATGAGGAATCGAGTTGTGCCAGTGGGGGAAAGGGGCTGTGTTTGACAGGACAAGAGAAGGCCCAAGGGAGCAGAGTGAGCAGGACTGACTCAGCAGTTAATAAAAGTCATCAGCCCACACTGCTGTGACTGACCACTGCTCTGTCCCCTGCGCCCTGCTCTGGCATCATTTCCAGCAGTCTAAGCAGACTACTACTCCCCCCACCCACCCACCCCCGACTCGGTCTGAGGCCCCTATTGCTTCCTGACACCAGGTGATCTCTAGACCAGTGGTTCTCAACTTTCCTAGTGCTGCGACCCTTTATTTAATACAGTGACTTATGTTGTGGTGACCCCCCCCCCAACCATAAAATTATTTTCGTTGCTATTTCGTAACTGTAATTTTGCTACTGTTATGAATTGGGCAAGGCCTGTGAAAGGGTCATTCGACCCCCAAAGGGGTCACACCCCACAGGTTGAGAACCGCTGCTCTAGACACACACACACACACACACAGCCATGTAAGGTGGGAAGCAGCCTGGATTTTATGGAGTTAGACTTACTCATGTACTTCTCTTGGAATCATCCAGCTTCTTATTGAAGGAGTAGAAGGAGATGGGCCTGCACCTCCATGGCACCCCACCCCTGGCCTCTTTTCCAGCTGGAGCCTCCTAAGAGGGCCTGCGCCTTCGTCTGCGCTGCTTGTCTTCCAGCCAGAACCTAGGACAGCGGTTCTCAACCTGTGGGTCCCAACCCCTTTGAGGGCAAACGACCCTTTCATAACAGTAGCAAAATCACAGTTATGAAGTGGCAATTAAAATAGCTTTTTGGTGATTAATCACAAAAATAATATGTAATTATATATTGTGAAATATTTCTAAAGACAAATAAATGAAATTTTGTCTTGGAAAAAAAATAACTTTTTGGTTGGGGGGGTCACCACCACATGAGGAGCTATGTGAAAGGGTCATTAGGAAGGTTGAGAACCATTGACCTAGCAGGTCCCCTCTGCCTCTTCCTAGTCTCACAGTCTTGGCCCTACCCCTTCTGGGGAACCTGGGGAGGCTTGGCTTGGGATTCCAGTGCAGAACAATAGATGCTGCTTCATGAGTAAGCAAGGCAGGAGTATGGCAAGAAGGGGCACCATCAGATGGCAGAGGGAGGGGACCCACTGAGGCAGTGGACACATGAGGACCTGCAGCTCGACTGTTCCCCCAGGTGTTCCTGCATGAAGCCACCGTCCGCCTGATGGCCGGAGCCAGCCCCACCCGTACCCACCAGCTGCTGGAGCACAGCCTGCGGAGACGTACCACCCAGAACACCAAACAAGGTGAGCCCTCGCCCCGCCTCGGGTCCCCAGAGCAGAAGTGAGGCGGGAGTTGGTTGCAAGGGCCTTGGGATGTTCTGGAGGTGCCGTGAGTATGTGTGGGGCTGGAGGATGGAGCCCTGGTGGGCCAACACCCAGCAAGGGACCCACATGCTACCCTTGCCATTCCCACAGGAGACATGGACACTTGGCCTGGCCAGCGTGAGCGGGCCACTGCCATCCTGCTGGCCTGCCGCCACCTTCCCCTCTCCTTCCTCTCCTCCCCGGGGCAGCGGGCAGTGCTGCTGGCCGAGGCCGCCCGCACCCTGGAGAAGGTGGGCGACCGACGCTCCTGCAGTGACTGCCAGCAGATGATCGTGAAGCTAGGCGGCGGCACAGCCATTGCTGCCTCCTGACCACACTATGCCCGCTGCTCGGGTTCCCTCTGCCCTTCCCATCCCCTTCCCCTTCTGTCTTTTCTCTCCCTCCTCCCTCTGAGAGCCAAGAGGAAAGACTGGTGGGGGCGGGTGCAGGTGAGGGTTCTTGAGCTTTGAAGCCAGCCAAGCCCCAGCCTTGAGTCTCTCCAGAGACAGCTCCATCGGCCTTGGCTTCCCTTTCCTGCTTCTCTTTTTTATCATCTTTTCCGCTGGGAGCACGAGTCTCTGGGACCAGCAAGCATTGGCCGGGCAGCTGTCCCTTTTTTATATGAACGTTTTTATATCGTGTGCTTGGGTTTGCCACACTGCAAGGCTGTTGCTGAAGCCTCTTTATCCTGCGCCCCGGGACTGCACCCACCCACTCCCTGGGGCCTGGCAAGGCCAGTTCATTGTTTCCTTGTCATTATGCAGGAAACCCAGGGTCGGGCAGGGCGCTAGGCCTGGGAGGCGGTGGGAAACGGGGCAGGCCTGCGGTGGATGAAATAATGTTGGCATTATTTTTTAATTTTTTAAAAAATAAACGGTATCTTATTTAATTGTCCTTGTCCTTCCCATTCCCTGCCCCCTAGGGTGGAAGCCCAAACTCAGGGTGGCCCAAGGGTGGGAGGGATGATGCCACCCATTGGGCCTGGGGACCAGGACCTTCAGTGTGGGCTTTCTGTTCCCTCCCAGCCCGTCTCCTACCTCTGAAGTCTATTTTTATCCCCAATTCTCATCTGAAAATGAGCCAGAGGGCGAAACTGGCCCCCCGGGAACTCCCAGAGACTGCAAGTCCCTCTTCCTGGAGTGGGCAAGGGGTTGCATAGGATGGGCACTAAGCAGGAGGTCCCAGGCCAGGGTGTGGGGGTGGTCCTGGAGGGAAAAGCTACCTACTTTTCTAGGCTTTCTGACTCAAGGTCTTCCCCAGGGGAGTTTCTCCTAGGACGAGGGCATTATGGGAAGCAGAGGCAGCCTACCCTCTGTGGACTGCTCTCTGTGACCCTTAAGCTGTTGGGGGACAGAGGATGGGCAGGACCAGAAGAACCCCAGTGAGCCCCTCCCCTCTCTAATTTATGGACCCTGCCTACCAGCCCCTGCCCATCAGGTCAGCCTTGTGTCGTGTATGTATACTGTGCCTTTTCTTGTCACTGTTTGGGGGCGGGAGGGTTTTTTTTCACAGACTAGAGGACGTGGCCATGCCCACTTGATGTTGACTCACTCACATGACCAGGATGTAGGTTATTCAATAAACAGATTGGAACCATCAGCCTGAGGTGTGTCAGGGTCTGAAGTGTGACTGCGCTGACAAACCAGGTGGCCCTCGGTGAGAGCCAAGGACTAAAGTCAGATCCTTCTCTTCCCTGCCCCTGCTGGGGAACCAAAGTGACCACCAAGGGTGGCAGCCTAAGGGACCTTCTCGTTCACCTGTTCCCTCCTTCCACACTGGCCATCCAGTCACTCTCCAGGCCCAGGAGGGGGCCAGTGTTCAAGGGCCAGAGGTCACCAAGTCTGTTCCCAGGTGACATCCTTTGGAATTTGGAATAAGGCTGAGTGAGTGTCTGCACTTCAGCTCTCTTTAGAGTTGTCTCTGGGGATGACAACACTGTTGGGCAGCCTTGGTATAGGATGCCCCTGGGGCATAGGGAGACCACCCAGAGTAACGGAGAGTGCTAGGCCAGCTGGGGCCACAGGTGAGCAACAGTGAGAGCTCAACTCCAGCCAGGCCCCATCCATGCAACTTGCAGCATCTTCAGAGGCAGACGCTTCCCATGGTCTCAGCCAGGCCCAGTGAGCTGCAGGTCCCCGACCCTTGCGGCTGAGGAGGAGTGGAGGGGTCATGTCTACTTCCCAGCACCACACAGCCAGGGCCCGCGTCACCAAGAGTGGGTGGGTGTGGGTGGCCAATGTGCCCAGGAGCCCGATCCTTTTGTGAGTCTCAGCGGGCTGCATGACTCAGCACCCACCTCCCTCCCCCAGTTCCACACAGCTGTGGGGTAGGCCCAGAGCACCCTACCCCCACCCAGGGTCCTGGTTAAAGGCTGGACCTAACTCCTGGAAGTCATGCCTTCCTCTCCCCGCACCACCACCCTCCAACTAGGCAGGACCAGGCTCTGGGCTTCCTTTAGCTCAGGACTTCTGGGCCTTCTCAGCTCCCATAATAGCCTTATGGGTACTTAAGGACTGAACCAAACCTGGAGACCTTCTGGGGTGGTAGGCCAGGCCAGCTACCCAGGGGAAGATCTAAAACAGGCTTCTGTACCTGGAGCTGACACTGGTGACCTGCCCTCTGCCCCTACACCCTTCCACATCAGCCCAAAGGCAGCAGGATACCAAGGGGTCCGGAACCGACGAGTGGCAGCTGTGTGACTTTGGGTAAGTGGCTTCTCCAGACTCCCGTTTTCTCATCTTTAAAGGGAGCTCTTGAAAAGCCATACCTGGTAGGGGGGTGTTCATGTGAGGATTCAGTGAGAAATAGCAACACGCAATGACCACTGTCACCAGGACAGGATGCCCTGCCAGGGTGATGGGAGAGACAGTGCTTAGCCCAGCCCCCACCACTCAATAGCACCTGCCACAGAGGGATCCTATCTAAGATACACACGGGATGCTGGCATCTCCCTGGGTCCCAGCCAGAAACTAGAAGCTCCTGGCAGGAAGGGGAGAACTGGCAGTGCCAAACGTGCTGTGTGAGGAGCACTGCCAGGCCTCCTGGACCCCCACCCTGAGGACCAGCTGCCCTCAGGCCCATTGCCCATACCTGTCAGGAGGTGGCACCAGGCCAAGCTGCCTAGAGCCAGACCATCAGCCAACTCAGGCTGGGGAAAGGGGTACCTCCAGTAGGATCTTGGACCCTCAGGGAGTCCAACAGCTTTCCCCACTGTGCCCCAACTTCCAAGATGTCTCTTGCTGCTCTAGGCTCTCAGCCCGGCCACCCCTTCCTTGGCTTCCAACAGCCGGCGCCAAGCCTCCAAACAGCCCTCACTGTTGTACATGCTGTGCCCTGGGCCCCCACTGCCGTCTGTCCAGTCAGTGACCCACACTGCCAGCAGCGCCTGCCCGGCCGAGCGAGGGTGTCCGTCTTTATTGTCGGGGCGGGACCACAGAAAAGGATTTATTTACAGGAGAACACCCCTGGCCTACTGATTGGCCTGGCCTGTGGTCCCTTTTCAGTCCAGCAAGCGCCACGCCCCCTGCCCTTGGTAGCCCCCAGAGGGTGGCCTTACTGGACTGAGGCTCCTCCCCAGGCCTGGGCTATCAGCAGCCCCAGGTCGACAGGGCCCGCAGCTGCCTCGAGAGGACTGGCGTCCCAGTCTTCACACAGTGACCTCAGTTTTGCTGTTGGTGCTCAAGTGCCGGGGTCCGCGGCCCGTGCTGCCGTAGAGACCAGGGGGCTGTGCGCTGAAGGCCTCGGGCAGCTTCTCCACGCTGAACTGGCGCCGGGGCGCGTGGCCGGGGCGCCTGACCGCGGGGGAGGCCTGGGTCGCCAGGTGGCCGCGGGGGGCTGGCCGACCGGGGT